GACCCGGGCAGCTGTGGGACAGAGCCTCACTGTGGTGGAAGCCAGAAGCTGGGCTGTGAAAGAAGGAGGCCATGTGGAAATGGGAAATAGTGATCTAGGGGCCTTCAGCGGAAAGAGGATGTCTGCTCCCCATTAGATTTATGTTGGGCAGTGGTGGCAAACCTATGGCACATGAACCGCAGCAGGCTGTTTGTATCATGGAAAGCTATAAAAGATTCGCCATCACTGGTTGTGGGTACATTTTAGTACCATGTGATGCTGAAGGCCTGTCATGTAAACCCCTTGTGGGGGATTTTTTTTAAGTCTAGGAAAAAAATTTTGCTGTCAAGAGAAATTTTCCTTTCCCTTAGGATCTTGTACTCTTTTTCTTTATAAGTGACATTGGGCCAAGTAATTGATTCCATTTCTTTTCTTATTTGGGGCATGCTGAATGAAGATAATGGGCCAAATTTGTGGTTTATCTTTAGTAACTTTTTTTTTTTTTGGTACTTGGGATTTAACTCAGGGCCTTTGTACTGAGCTACATCTCCAGCCCTTGTGTGTTTGTTTGTTTGTTTGTTTGGAGACAAGATCTCACTGTGAAGCCCAGGCTTGCCTCAAATTTTCTATGGTCTTCTTGGCTCAACCTCCCAAGGGCTGAGATTATATGCATGTACCACCACACCCTGCTTCTTTTTTTTTTTTTTTAATTTTTATATTTTATTTTGAGACAAGGTCTGCTAACCTGCTAAATTGTCCGGACTGGGCTGGAATTTATGATCCCCCTGCGTCAGCCTCCCAGAGTGCTCTTATTGTAGGCATACACCACTTCAGTAACCTTTAGTACCCTGTGGCCTGGACATTCATGTATCAATTGTCCTTTTTCTTTTTTTGTACTTTCATGCGTATTTTGACTTTTAGGTTATGAAAACAATCCAGAGTCCCTGATAAAAACCAGCAAAGTACAAAGGAGTTTAGATAAGGAAAGAAAAAAAATTCTTTCTTTGTTCCATTTTCAATGTGAAAACTATAAATAGCATATGTTGATGGAATGCACATAGAATAGGTAGATTAAATATATATTTGTGTGTGCATATATGTTGATTCCTGAGATGTGCTACACTTTTAAAACAGCAGGAAATTTTTTCTTAAATTAGACCCAGGAGGGGAATGAAGACCGGAAAGAGGTGGGAATGGTAGGGAAGTAGGGATTAATGGAGCTAAACTTCAGGTCCTGGCAAGCAGCAGGTTACACAGAGAAACAGGAGAGAGGAAGTGATGTCTGTAAGACAGAGGGAGAGAGATGAGACAGGAGAATGAAAGTGAATGGCATCCTTTGAGCCTGGAGAGGAGAGGGGAGAGCCAGAGCCCTAGGCTCAAAATGAGTTGAACAAATAGAATTTGTTTTCAAATCAAATCATCAGTGGTGCATTAAGTGCCTCTTGGGAGCGATACAGCATCCCTTGCTTTCTGTATGCTGCCTGGGAGCCACTTCAGAGGCACGGAAGTCAGGCCTTACCAAGTTGACTGCTCTGCTGAGGCTGGGAATTTCAGTGGCTTTCTTCTGTGAGCTGTAGAAGAGCACTGAGAACTGCTCATGAAAGAAAGGCTCCTCTCACACTTGAGTCTTTGGGGAATACAGTGAGTGACACTTTAATTAACAAATCTGCTGGGAACAAAACCCCTTTAAGAGTGTTGGCCAGTGTGGAGTTGGAAGGGTGGGCTGTAGAAGCTCCCATGGCACAGTGGGAGTTCTGGGGCCTCAAGCTGTGGGGTGAATTCTTCATCTTTGGGATCTGATCTATCAGGATGAGGGCAGGAGTGCCCTCTCTGAAGACTCGAGCTCTGTCCCAGGGAACAGGCTGGCAGGCTGCGGTGGCACTCCTTAGGTAGCTGGGCTCATCCACCACTTCCAGTATGGGCTTTTTGGACTTTCCTGTTTCTTCCATGATCAGGAGCCACAGCCTGTTTGTTCATGATGAGAGGACAGAGGAGCCAGCATTTGGGAATCCATCATTCTAGCTCCTGCATGATTCCTCCCTCTGGTAGCTGAATTTCCCTCCCTCTGTGTGTAATGCTGGGGATTGAACCCAGGGCCTTTACACTGAGTTACATCCCCAGCTCTTTTCTTTTTGTATTTTTATCTTGAGACAGAGTCTTCCTAGGTTGCCCAGGCTGGGCTCAAAACTTGCAGTGCTCCTGCCCCTGCCTCCCAGAGTGCTGGGATCACAGGTGTGTGTCACTTCACTGGGCTTGGTAGCTGAATTTCTGGTGACAACTGACTATGTATCTTCCGGCAAGCAGTATATATTGCTGCATCTCACTCTGTGAAGTATATTTGGGCACTGATGTCAGTTCTAACACAACTTCAATATCTCCGGTGTCATGGAGCCTGAAAAGGTTCATGAAACACAGCAGGACTCCCCTGTTATGGTCCCAGAGAGGCTTGTGATTATGTAGGATTTGCCCAACTTGGGAAGCATTTTTTTTTTTTTAGTTAGAATGGGCCCTGGAGGAATAATCAGTTTCTTAGCTCTAATTTCTTTGCTGAAGAGAGTTTACTTAACTCTGACATTGTCATCAATTAGTTTCTCTGTCTAGAAGCCTATAACAAATGTCCTGAGGCTGAGTTTACTGAGCCCAAAGGTAGAATGAGGATTTTATGAAAGCTTTCAACAGAGTTACTGTGGCAAAACTGAAGACACAAATGAGACCTTGTCATTCTCATTCTTTTAAAGCTTAGGGAAATGGTTCTTATTCTTTAATTCAGTCTTTCTCTGTATTCTTTTTTTTTTTGGTTGTTCTTTTTTTTCATACCGGAGATCGAACCCCAGACTTGGTGCTTGTGCTGCAGGTGCCAGAACCACTGAGCTAAATCCCCGGCCCTCTGTATTCTTTTTCTTACAAAATAGTCCTGGTCCTTTCATTTTTACTTTAGCTCATTTTTGACTAATTTTTCTCTCTTGGGAAGATTGATGATCACGCTTACAGTATTGACACTCAACAGTTGATCTGAACTCTCCTCGCCTTCTCAAGGCTGTTTTTTTTTTTTTGAAACAGGGTCTCACTATGTAGTTAAGGCTGGCCTTGAACTCACTGTGTGACCCAGGCTGACCTGAAACTCACAGTAATTCTCCTGTCTCATCCTCCTGAGAGCTGGGATTACAGGTGTGTGCCACCACACCTGGCTTTGACTCTCTTGTTTTGGTCCTGGGAATTGAACCCAGGGACTCTTGTGCAAGGCACTCTATAGCTGACCTTTATAAAATCATGCTTATTTAAAGATCTTGGGAAAACATCCAAGTCTGCACACAAGACAGTGAAAGAGTTCCCTAGGATAATACCTTCAAGTCTTGGATGAAGAATCCAATAGCAGCATTTCAATGTGTGGAAACAACAGAAAACAAGATAAATATAACTTAAGTGCAGGGAAGTTTCTAGACCTAGGATTAAACCAAGTGATAGTAATAGTTGTTTCTTACATCAGCGATTCAAAAGAGGCCATTGTTACTCAAAATTAAGATGTTGCTGGGAATGGTTATACATGTTTGTAATCTTAATGTACTTGAGGCTGAGTCTGGGTGCTGCAGCCTGGGCTACATAGTGAGTTCAAGGTCAGTCTAGGTTACACAAGGATACTCTGCTTCAACAAATAATCTCCCCAGAAAATTAGGGTGTGTTTAACAGAAAAAAAAAATCATACTACTTTTCTTATGTGTTGAAGGGTCAGTGGTGTGTGGGATTTAACAGGGAAGAGGCAAACCCAGTCATAAGGCCAGAACAAAGGGCTAGCTTTCAATTTCTTCTATCAAATTTTGACTTTGTTGAATATAAAATGGTCTATGCTCCAGCACTCTGCAGGGCTGAGGCAAAAGAATCACAAGTTCAAGCCTAGCCTGGGCAACTTCGTGATTTAGCAAGATTGTCTCAAAAAAATGAATGAATAAATGAATGGATGGATGGATGAATATTAAATAATAAATAAATAAATAAATAGGGCTGGAGATATAGCTCACTGTGAAGACCCTGGGTCCAGTCTCCAGTATGTCAAAAGAAAAAAATTTCTAAAGCAAAATAGGGGTGCTAGATGAATCTATTTATTTTTCAAAAAGACTTACAAGGCTGGGTGTGGGTGTAACTCAGTGGCAGAGCATTTGCCTAATATGTTTGAAGCCTGGATTGCATCTCTAGGATTAAAAAAGATGGTGCGTGCGTGTGTGTGTGTGTGTGTGTGTGTGTGTGTGTGTGTGTGTTTGATGGAGTGAGGCGGAATCTGGGAGGCAGTAAAATTGCCTTCTAATGTGTTTCGGGAGGCAGTACTCTGTACTAGAAACCTTGGGCCAAAGTTCTTGGGCTTGCTTCTCTGACATGAGGTCATAATAACAAATGTTCGAAGTTGTATATGATCATCTTGCCTCAGTAAAGGACCTGTTTCTCCACCATCATTCCAAACTTGCTTACCCTGCTAGCTCATTTCCTACTACGCTGTCCTCTGGTGTGGACACCCTTCCTATCTGTGGTAGATTCTAGCTGCTAGAGGGTTTGGGGCATTGCCCTAGTGGGCCCTGAAGTGCCATGCTCCTAGTGCGAGCTCTGCACTGTTATGGTAGGGGACTGAGGGCAGCAGAGGGAGTGTGGTTGTGTCACTTCCCCAAGTGGGGAGATCCTGGGGGCCAAAGGGGAAGGGGAGGGCACAGGTTCTGCTTTGGACAGGAGCCAGCCCCGTGGCATTTGTGAGTAGGTATAGGGAGGCACTGAGGAGCTGGTGAGCTCAGGCTTCTTGGGCTAATCATAGGCTTGTGTTCAGAGAGCCCTCCGCAAAATCCCCACTGTGACCCAACTGGGTCAGAGGGCTCAGTGGGCAAGTGTGTTCTCAGGTGAAACCAAACACCGTTTTCCAGCCACTTGTGAGCAGATCCAAAGGGAAGAAACAGTGTCACCTAAGGGCTGTGCTTTGATTGGTGATGATGATGGTCATGCTGACAATTTAAAAAAGTAATGAATTGTTTTCCTTCTTTTAGTCACATAGAAAAAATCACCACATGGCAAGACCCTAGGAAGGTGATGAATCAGCCCCTGAATCATCTGAGCCTCCACCCTGCCATCACTTCCACACCAGTGCCTCAGAGGGCCATGGCCGTGTCCCAGCCAAATCTGGGTAAGCCGCAAGCTTCAGCGTCCAGCTGAAGGGACCGTGTCCAGCTGAGGGGTCGGGGGCTCAGAGCAGCTCTGGTGTCTCCGTGCCTCTCTATGGACCCAGTGGTATCCTCTTCACCACATTATCCTCCTGCTTCTTGGCCTCTTTGGCTCATGACATGATTCCCTTGGCTTTACCCTGCAATTCTGGCATTCTCTCCAGTGGCCTGAATCAAGGCTGCTTTTGAAAATCACCTAGGCTTCCTGTCTTCATCTACACTAGGCAAGTAGGGCCGTACCCCTCTCTGTGAGTCTAGATTTAGAACACAGTGTGTCTGCAGCAGGGAAGGGAGGTGTTTTCATGCCTTCCCTCATTGAATCCTCAAAACCACCTCTCAGAAGTAACAATCCCCGTTGTGTGGACTAGGAAACCTTCCCAAAGTCCTAGAGCACGTGGATAGCAGAACTGGAGTTTGGACTTTGGTTCTTTTGACTTTAGAATGCAGTTAAAATGGACATGGTGGAGCATGTTTGTAATTCTAGTACTCTGGGAGGCTGAGGCAGGAGGACTGCAATTTTGAGCCCCGCCTGGGCAACTTAGCAACCAAGACCCTATTTCAAAATAAGAATTGAACCCGGAAGGGTTTTTTGATCCAGTCTCATGAAGAAATAGTAATGAATTATAACTACACCTGTAAAAACGAATGATAAAGTGGGAAGCAAAAAAAATTGTGTCAAAGTTGCTTTATCTACCGAGAAGATAAAGATTCACTCAGTGCTGTTAACCGTTGCATAAATTGCAAGTGGTTTCTCCCCAGACCTACCCCAGGGTAATATTTTTACTCAGTCCCAGTGTTCGTCTGTGACTTTTAGACTGAGAAGAGAATATTTTTTGCTTATTACTTTTACTTCAAAAACACTAAGGTTATGTCCACTGGAGGTAAGCACAAGTGAATGAAGTCTCTGCAGCCTCCAAAGTAGCCAGTTGTTGCTTAGTCATTTTCTCCCATCCCTTTGAGGGCTAAAAATAAAAAAAGAGGGCCAATTTTTGCTACTGTTTTCAGGCCGGGCATGGTGGCACATGCCTGCAATTCCAGTACTTGGGAGGATGAGGCAGGAGGATCACTGAATTCGAGGCCAGCCTAGGCTACATAGCAAGACCCTTTCTCCAAAAAGAATGGGAGGGGGGTTGTTGCTGTTTTCAGATAACTTTCCATTTAAGATTCGATATCCAGAGACTGCTTTATTCACAGAACAGTTAATTTTAGGGAGTAAAAAGAGACGCTTGCTGGATTTTTCAGGAATAAACAGGATAAAAAGGGAAGTATTATTCCTGGACTCCCTTGCCTGCCTCTTACTATGCTTAGCCAGAGTGAGTCTGAGCTCAAGTAGACTGGAGCTCTTCCAGGTGTCTGCACCTTCTGGTCAATGCTTGAAGGTGTGCGTTATATCCAAAGAGCAGATTTCGTGGGGAAACCTCTGTTGTGTTCCTTCTCCCACTAGGATAAGCCAAAGCTTCCCATTAATCATTTGTCACAAATATATATTAGCATGCACACAGAAAGCAGGCTCCGCTGTAGTGAAGAAGCCTCAAATTAGGTGACATTAGACTAGTCCATGATTTCTATCACTATTTAACTTTCATTAAAAATTCTACAAACTTATTATTATTACAGTTTAGACCTTAAATATTTTTTTTTTTGGTGCTAGGGATTGATCTCAGGGCCTCACATATGATACATGTGCTGTACAACTGCACTACTGCATCCCTGGACCTTAGCTTTGTAATCAATTAAAGTTGGAAAAAAATCTTTCATGAGACAGAATGGTAAAAAAGAATCTGACATTCTTCTAGAAGGTGCTTCTAGGAAGCATTCAGTGTTTCCAGTTTCGTGGTGTGGGTACCCACACAAATGCTAGCACATGATGCCTGCTGTTTTGTACCTTACTCTTCTTGCTTTTATATCCACACTCATGGAACTTCCTCATTCTTTCTAGAAAATGCCTAATAGTCCAACATACTGATATACTATAAATAGTTTATTTAATAGCTCCCACCTCATGGATATTTATGTTTCCAGTGTGTTGCTAGTATACAAAATATGGGCTCAGTGTGCTTAGTCATGCTTTTTTATGCATTTTTTTTTTTTGGTATGGGGGATCAAACTCGACCTTGCACTTGCAAGGCAGGCGTGGCACCACTGAGCTAAATCCCCAGCCATTATGCACTATTTTTAATTTAAAAAGATTATACTAGTCAGCCAGGTATGGTGGCACACACCTGTAATCTCAGCACTTGGGAGGCTGAGGCAGGACTGCAGGTCGGGGCCAGCCTGTGTGACATAGAGTTCAAGGCCAGCTGTCTCCCTCCACCCCCAAATTGTACAAGTGCGAAGGAGACTAAATTAAGGTTGTTGAATGCTTAAGTTTATATCAAAGGCAGATGAGGGTTAGCCTGCACGTGCACTCACACTAGAAGTCCCATTGTACTGGTAAAGTTTGTCTAAAGAAGTTGTAATCTAAACATTCTGAAACATATTTACTTGTAGCCGAGTAAAATACCATACTTTCCAGAATTCTAATAAGTTGAGGTAGTGAATTTCTTAAGACACACATTCTGGGATTTTTCCAACAATGTTCGAGTACTTGCTTAGAGTGCCTTGTCTATAGACAATCACAGCTGTGTCCCAAGATGGAAATTTAACCAAGAAATGCCAAGTAAGTTCTAAAGATCAGGAGAAAATTTAGAGTTACAATGCACTCCTAATATTTAAATGATTTACTCAAAATATTTCATGTTAAATTTCAGCTCTGCTTGTGGTTCATACTCCTTATCATTAAATCTTTAAGATAAAAAGAGCAGATCCTTTTTCTCTTTTCCTTGTTCTGTTTTTCAATCGCGTTCCTTATTCTTAAAATTAGAACTTTCATACTTTTCAGTGGAATGTAACTGACAAATAAGCAAGCTTAAGTGATAGGTTCCATTTAGTAAGAGGTATGCATGTGAAAATGACATTAATTACATTACTCTCTGATGATAGATTTAATACCTTTTTAAAGCTAATATGATGTATTTCTAGAGTGTAATGTAATTGGTGACATAGTTAAACATACACGAGAACTGAATCTCCTTTTCATTGAGGTCCTTTATTTTCTCTAGGTTAGGTAGATGGACCTGGGAGCCAGGCTACTAGAATCTGCATCTTGGCTCTGTTAATTGTCAGTTTGGTGAGCCTGTTAAATTTCATAACTGTACCTCAGTTTCTCCATGAGCAGATTGGGGATTATTGATAGCAGGCGGAAACTACATGGGTTTATATATGTAAAATGCTCAGAACTGTTCCTGGCACTTAACAAGCCAAAGTTAAGTGTCTGCTTTTATTATTGTTACTCTTTGTGCAAAGATAAGTTTTATTGTATTTAACCTTAGTGTATTATGTTTTAAGAGACAATTTCATTTTTTATTACCAAGGCTTTCAAGAATTCTTTTGGGCTGGTTGCAAAGTGCTTTAAATTAGGAACACTCTATGCATTTCTGTCAGTGAGGATAGCGCCCCCTGGTGGAAACATGTCAGCTCCCCTTCCCCAAGAACCTTCTTCCTAGAGGGGATCTCTAAACTTTGGCATGTAAATCTAACCATGTTTTAATTGTAAGAGGAGAGACATGTCCCTTCAAGTCATTGTGGAGTTAATGAGTTTGTAAGACTACAAGACTGTTTTCAAGTTTGGCGAAGTTGTTGGGTGTTTATACTCACTGAATTTTCAAACACCTGGATGAAATTGAATAGGCTCTAAAGGGGAAAATTACAAAAAGTTTTTCCACTTTAATTCAAATAAACATCTCCAGCATGGTGTAGTTTTTAAGTGACATTTTAGTTTTTGTATTTACCAAATTTGGTTGACTGTGCGGTTTTACCCAATTTAATTCTGTTTGGATAGATTGGTGATCTTTAATCTGTAAACCCAGAAATTACTAGGGAATGGGAGAAGAAAGGAAGACCTGGGAGGATTTAGATAGTAAAGAAGCGAGAGTACTTAGTGTAAGGCATATCATCATTTTCACTAGGAGGCTGATAACATATTTAATTTTGTTTGTTCTTTTTCAGATAGGGTCTTGCTGTGTAGTTCAGGCTGGCCTTGAACTCACTATGTAGCCCAGGCTGGCCTCAACCTTGCAGCAATCTTACCTCAGTCTCCAAAGTGCTGGTATTACAGCCATGCACCACCATACCTAACTTGTATACTCTTAATTAATACAGTGAAGCGGGAGAATTATTATACATGTGAAAGTTGCTTTTCCATAATACAGACCAGATAAAATCTCATTTTAAGTAGGCTGTTGACTTTAATTAGTATTAATACCCATGAAAATTAAAAAAGAATTTAAATGTTTATTACTACATGTTTATGGTACATAATGATTATATTCATCATGACAGATTGGTACATATAGATAATACATCTTAATTCTTTTTAGTTTCCCTCCCTCACTCCTCCCTGAAAATCTTTTAAAGGAAGAAAAAAAAACGAAAGGGAGGGTGGAGGTAGGGAGAAAAGCCTGTCTCCACAGGCCCTGCTATAACACACCCGATGGAGCCTGCCATGTACTTAGCCCTTCCTTAGGTGTGGTGGTGTGCGAGACCTGTGTGAGACTGTATTGAGGGGTGGAGGGCAGGAACCATTCTGTATAGTGGTTCCTGGGAAGAACTTGGAGTCAAACTGTTTCTCTTGGATTAGACATTTATTAGTTGGGTTAGTTATTTAACTTGTCCCGGTTTCATTTTCCTTGTCTGTCAAATGATGGTACTGATAGTACCTACCTGATAGAGCTAATTGGAATATTTAGGTAATACACGTCTTGGTACCTGGCATACAGTAAGCCCCAAGGAAATGTTTTATTGTGCACTAGTGGCCTAGCTTTCCTCATTTTCCTGGTCCCCGGCTACTGAGAGGAAGGGCCTGGGCAGTGCTCTCAGGAATACCCCAGCAAAGGTTATGACAGCATTTGTCATTTTGCCACGT